CCGTTAATCGTGCTAATATCATGGCTGATCGCCATAGCACTCAGGTAGCGACGGGGTGCATGGGAAGCCAACCAGCGCTGGGTGTTAGATATGTGGTGTTAGAACTTGTAAGCAGCTTGCCTGTATACGCTCGCGAAAGGGTGATGAAGCATTTTAGGCGCACGACGGTGGTCAGTGTCGTGCCGGATGGACGGTACCGGGTGTTGTCGGAATCCGGGTCCGCAGTGTACCAGGTTTACATAGACCGAGGCAGTAACTGTGGCTGTGCCTTTAATCGTCATTGGCGTATGTCTTGCGATCACATATGGCACGCGGCGGCGGAGGGGAATCGGAAGGTCCACATTGTACTTGAGGGATGTCGATGGTTGTTTGCTCCAGCGGTATAAGCTGAAACGGCAGAGAACTTGGATAGCAGTCAATCTGAAACGGTCTCCGCAGTTGGACATGAATACTGTGTCATAGACAGGCGCATCAAGGTTAGAGGATTGCAAGTGGTGCTGGCGGCAATTGCTATGAAGGTCCAAAACCTCGACTCAGACGGATACCTGAAAGCGCCAGGTATTTTGCGTGCTTTCGGGAAGGTTATCTCCGCTAAGTTGGATTACAACATTCGTTGCGACACGTCGAGTTGTTTAGAAAGTATACCACTGTGCGCCGGAAACGTACCATGTTTATTGAGAATTCGGCTTGAGAATGAGGTGCAAAACATTGCGGCGGGCTACGCTGAAACATCGATAAGCGTTGTGGTGCGCGTCATGCTGCATGGCAGTTAGGCATCCATCCCAGTCCGTCAACTACCGCTACGGTGGTCTCTGAGGAGGATCCGGGCATTTGCTTTAGGCGACGCTAGTATTAACTAGTGAATCCTTCAAGTTATACAGCCTTTAGGGGACTCGTGACGAGGCGGTTCATAGGCTGTGTGGGGAGTATGGCGGGACCGTGGGTTCTGAGGGGCATGGATTATTGTGGTTTGGTACACAGGACACGTGACGGGGGGTTGGTGGGCACGTGCAGCTTTGGCTGGAGTTGGTGTGGATTGGTTGAGTGAACTCTGGGGGGAGGTAGGGTTAAGTTGTAGTTGGCTTGTTGACGGGGAACAAGAGGCAGAGGGGAAGTAAACGAGAGGGAAGGACGAGAAGGAAAACAACCAAAAAAGAAGAACAAAAGAACCAGAGACAGGGGAGAGAATGAGAGCAAAAGAAAAAAAAAAAAGGGGAGGCCAGAGGGGCAAGGGGAAGAATAGGGAAAAGCAAAGAAGAAGCTAAGGATGAAAAGACGAGCAACAATATCAGGAGGGAAAGCAGGCAACAGAAAGATAGCAGGGGGAAAAAGAAGCAAACAATAGCAAAGGAGGGAAGAATCAACGACGACAACAAAAGAGGGAGGACAAAACGCGGGGGAAGGGAACGGAACAAAAGGAGCGGAAGAACAGGAAAAACACAAGGGGAAGACACAAGGAAAACATGGAAACGCAGAAAAGAACGGCAAAGAGAAACACAAGAGGAAGGAAAAAACTAAGAAGGGCGACAAACAAGGGAGACACAGAGCGAAGACAAGGCAAAGGCGAAACAAGGGAAAAGAAGGAGACACACAGACTCCGAAAACTGCTGACACAAGAGGAAAACAACTCAGACAAAAAAAGGGGCAACAGAAAGGCAAAGAGAACAAGACAAAGAGAAGAAGGCCACCCGGGACAACCGTACGACCAGACACAGAAGAAGGAGGCAGAAAAACGACAGAAGAAGCGACACACAGGGAAACACAAAAAGACGAAGCAAAAGAAACGACGGGACACAAACAAGAACCCCAAGACGGGAAGAAAGGACCAGGAAGAAGCGGCAATAGGGAAGGAAAAAAGAAGACAAAAACAGTGACACCAAAACAGGAATACAACAACAACAGAAACAACACAAAACGAAGAAGCAACGAAGGGAGACACGGCGGGAAAAAGCAACCAAAACAATCAAAAGCAAAAAACCACAGGACACGGAGGCGAGAAAGAAAGAGAAAAAAAAAAAAGCGGCACCAGAGGGCGGGAAGACAAGGAAACGGAAAATAGAAAAAAACAACGCACACGAAAAGACAAGGAACGGAATAGGGAGAACAACTGAACCGGAGAAGAAGAACAAGGCAAGCATCGAACCACGGAGCAGAAGGGAGAAAAACAAAAAAAAAGGGGGGCAACAGCACACCAAGACAGCAAGGAAAGGAAGAAGAGACAGAAAAAACAAGGAACGAAACAAGGGAAAAGGGGGAACAACGACACAAACTGCAAACACAAACAAAGAGGAACAAAGGCAGGCAAAGGGGACAGACGAAAGGGAAACAGAAGCAAAGGGAACAGAAGGGAAGATGGAGAACGGAACAGAAACAGCAAAAAGAAGAGCAGAAAAGGAAAAAGAGGAAAAGACAGAGAGAAAAAGAACCGACCAATAGGAACCGGGAAAAATAAAAGACACACACAAAGAGCAGGACAGGAAAAGCGGGAGAAGATGGGAAAAACGAAAAAGGAAAAATCGAAGAAGAGCAAAAAAAGGGACACCGCACACCAGCACACCAGGACGGGAAAAAGGGGAAAGGGGAAAACAGACAGGCAAGAAAGGGAACAAACACAGAACTAGAAGGAAAGGGGAAGAAAAGCGGGAGCAACACAGGGAGCACTCGCACACACAGCACAAGATAACAGAAAAGACAGGAAGAAGGGCCGGCGGAAGGAGACAATCACAACAAAAAAAGGAGGAAACAAGAAAGAAAAAAGAGACAGGAAAAAACAAAAGAACAGCAGGAAAAAGACGGACAAGAACAAGAGACACCACATACGAAAGCGGGAAAGAAGGGAACACAGGAAAAAACAAAGAAAGGACAGAAATAACGGGCGGATACGAACGAAGAAAAGAAGAGAGCAAGGGACAGGAGGAGACAAAGAGAGGCAAGAAAAAAGAATGAAAAAAGAAAGGAACAAGAGAAGACAGGAAAACAAAGAACCACGGGACAGAACCACATCAAACAAAAAGGAGGGAAGACAATGGGGCAGAAGAGCAAACAGAAAAAAAAGAATAAAGAGGAAGAAAGGGACGGCAGCAAGCACGCACCCTCAACCCCCAGCAGACACCGAAACAGCCGAAGGGAAACAGTGAAAAAAAGAACAAGAAAGACAGAAGGAAAACTGGAAGACAAAAAGAAGCGGAAAAAGCACAGACGGGGCAGATACACAGAAAGGAGAAATGTGCAAGGGGAGAGACAACCAGGGGGAAAAGCAACAAAGCAAAACACACAAACACAGGACAAAAAAAAGAAGGGCTAGACTACGCACGAAGAAGAAGAAAGAGAAAAAAGAAGAGGAAGAAAGGGGGGGACAAAGAGAGGAAACACAACAGAGCAGGAAAAAAAAAAGGAGAAGAAGGAGAAAAAGAAAAGAGGAAAACGAGAAAAAAGGGAACGACCACGCAAAAGGACACAAGAAACACGGGGAAAACACAAGAAAAAACAAGAACGAATCAAGAGACACAAGAGGATAGGGCAACAGGGAGGAAACGAAAAGAAGAAGAACAGGAAAAGGAAACAAACAGAAAATGAGAAGGAAAGAAGGGAAAAAAAGAAAAAAGAAAAGAAATGAAAAACACAACAGGAACAGAAGAACAAGGACAAAAGAAGGGAACAACAGAGCAAGGGAGACAACCGGGGAGACACAGACAAGAAAGGGGAACGAAGACGGCAGAACGCAGAAAAGGGGAAGGACGGTAAGAAAAGAAAAAAGAAAGCACACAAGAAGCGACCAAAAAAAACAGACACACCACACAGGAGGGAGAAAGGCTAGACACGGGGACAGGGAGGCTAGAACAAGGGAAACGGCAATGGCCTGACACAACAGGAAGAACACGACGCAGACAGGGGGCAAAGAGCAGGGACCCAAAACGGACAAAGGAAGAGCAAACACAAACACACACAAAAAAACCTCAAAGAAAACCACACCGCACAGGGCAGAGACAGACACAGACACGACCGTAACAGGACCACACCGAAAGGACGAAGGAAAACGGCAAAAGCAAGACACGGGCACAAGGAGGAACGCAGAGAAGGAACACACACAAAGGGGACGGGCAAACAGGAAACACCAGCAGAACAGACGGGAAGAAGAGGACACACGACCAAAGATCCAGATGGGCACAAGGCCCAACACAAAGACACGAGTAAGGCACACGAGCAACGCGGCACAACCCAAAACACGGCACCAGAAGGGACAGACAAAAAAAGGGACCACAAAAAGCACACAAGAACATACGCGGACTCACACAAGGAGGGAAACAAAAGCCAACGAAACAAGACAAGACGACAGGAAAACAACAGGACAGGACGAAGAAGCACCAAGCACCAGACAAAAGAAGAGGGAACAACACACAAAACATGACGCCACACGAGACACAACCACACCAACGCAGACAGGACAGGAGACAGGACCGGCAAAACACGACACACGAGCACAAGGCACAGAAACAAAGGGGCACAGCAAAGCAACCAAACACACAAACGCAACACGAACATAGGGCAGAACAACGGGACACAGAAAAAGCACGGGCAACCCCAGGGACACAGACGACGAGAAGCACAACACAGACCAGACCGGACACACAACCACCAGGGACAAACAGGAGGAAACACTAGTGCAGACAACCAGGACGGCGAACGCAGGGCAACCGAGCAACAGACACAGAAGAACAGCACACAGGAACCACGCACACCGGGCTCAACAACATACACACACGCGGCACAGGGCAGGACAACCACGCAACGCACAACAACCACAGCACAGGACGGGGCCAACAACCGAGCGCGCACGCAAGAAGAAAGGACAGAACACTGGCACGCGCACCCCGAGGCTCACAAACATACCACACCACAGCCACACAGGGGCCCCCCCCCCACCCCCCCCCCAAAACACCGACAAGCAGGGACGGGCCCACCCTCCCTTCGTCACGCCGCCCGCCCTCCCTCTGCCCTTGTCACCGCCGCCAGTCACCCCCCCCCCCCCCCCCCTCCCCCCCCCCCCCCCCCCCCCTCCCCCCCCCCCCCCCCCCCCCCCCCCCCCCCCCCCCCCCCTCCCCCCCCCCCCTCCCCCCCCCCCCCCCTCCCCCCCTCCCTCCCCCCCCCCCCCCCCCCCCCCCCCCCCCCCCCCCTCCCCCCCCCCCCCCCCCCCCCCCCCCCCCCCCCCCCCCCCCCCCCCCCCCCCCCCCCCCCCCCCCTCCCCCCCCCCCCCCCCCCCCCCCCCCTCCCCCCCCCCCCCCCCCCCCCCCCCCCCCCCCCCCCCCCCCCCCCCCCCCCCCCCCCCCCCCCCCCCCCCCTCCCCCCCCCCCCCCCCCCCCCCCCCCCCCCCCCCCTCCCCCCCCCCCCCCCCCCCCCCCCCCCCCCCCCCCCCCCCTCCCCCCCCCCCCCCCCCCCCCCCCCCCCCCCCCCCTCCCCCCCCCCCCCCCCCCCCCCCCCCCCCCTCCCCCCCCCCCCCCCCCCCCCCCCTCCTCCCCCCCCCCCCCCCCCCTTCCCTCTCCCCCCCCCCCCCGCTCCCCCCCCCCCCCCCCCCCCCCCCCCTCCCCCCCCCCCCCCCTCCCCCCCCCCCCCCCCCCCCCCCCCCCCCCCCCCCCCCCCCCCCCCCCCCCTCCCCCCCCCCTCCTTCCCCTCCCCCTCCCCCTCTCCTCTCCCCCCCCCTCCTGCCCCCTTCTCCCTCCCCATCCTCCGCCCCCCCCCCCCCCACCCCCCCTTCCCCCCCCCCCCCCCTCCTCTCCCTCCTCCTCCCCCCCTCCCCATCCCCTCCCCCCCCCCTCCCCCCCTCCTCCCTCCCCCCCCTTCTCCCCTTCCCTCCCCCCCCCCTCTCCCCCCATCCCCCCCCCCCCCCCTCGCCCCCCCCCCTCCATCCCCTCCTCTCCCCCCCCCTCCTCTCCCTCCCTCCCTCCCCCGCCCCCCTCCCCCGCTCCCCCACCCGCCCCCCCTTTCGGTGGGACAACATAAAGTGGCGCAAACCTCACCGTGGTATCGTCTGTTCACAATTAGCTTTTCACATTGCTGTCTCTTCGTGCTGCTTATATGGGTGACCAGCCACTATAGCTAAGTTTACACGCAACCTTTCCGCCACACTCTACTCTGCTGCACTTCCGGTCAGTCTATCGGCTCCCAACATGTTGTTTCCAGAACTCCTGTGCGTCTGCGCTGCCTATGTGACTGTGCTGCTACTACTGATCAGTTTCCACGTAACCTTTGCAGACGTTATCTACTCCAATGCACCTTCGGTAAAGGTAGCGTCTGTTCACTTGTGGCTTTTAGAACTGCTGTCTATCCATTCAGCCTATACGGGTGATCTGCTACTGCGTGCTGGCCTCCACGTAACTTGCGCCGCTGCTACCTACTCCGCTGCACGTCCGGTAAGTGTACTGGCTCCTAACATTTTGCTTCTAAACTCCTGTTTATCTGAGTTGCAGAAAGGACTGATCCGCCACTGCAGGTCCGCCTCCATGTAACATGTGCCGCCGCCATCTACCCTGCTGCACTTCCGGTATGCGTATTGTCTGTTCACATGTGGCTTGTAGGATTCATGTATATCCATGCCGCCTCTATAAATAACTAAATAAATAGTTTATTCTTGAACTTGTAGGGACACACCAAACCAGTCATGATCAACATTTACATGCAATTATGTTTCTCAACAAACACGTTGCTACGTATGTAATCGGTAGTCAGCCGAAAGTGGTACAGGCTGTGGAAATTATAAAAGTAACCATGAGCAATGAAGTCGTCAATGAATGACGATGCGTTGGGTTCTAGAGTGCTTAGTGTAAACAGTCAGGGCACTATATGCGTAGTGAAAATGATACATGTAGGCAGGGAGTATCTTATTCTTGAACGTGTCAGGAAAATAGTATAGCGTGATTCTAGTCGACTTGCCAGCATGTAGTTGTAGGCAGTGACTTTATTCGGTGGCGAGTGACATCCATCACGTCGCAGTGTTGTTAAGCGGACATTTGTGGCTTATTATAGGGCGAACGCTTGCCAGTCGAAAACCCACCACGTTCTGGAACAATGTCACAATTCCGTTTGTACACTAATGTACAACTAGCAGAGCAGCTCGCCGACTGATTGCACATTTAGTTATCCGAAGTCAAATGACCGCCAATTTCCTCTGTTAGTTGCTCATATAACTTTGTCAGGTCTGCCATAATAGCCGAGGCAAATCGAGGGGGGGAGATTCAAAAAGAATGGTCATGGTGGGTATCCATGTGAGCAAAAGTTCAGTTTCTTGAGTCTGAAATTTTCAGGTTTATGTATACTTTACAGGAATGTGAAGGCCTCGTGTCCAACTATCATTACTTGACAACGGTCTCGTTAGTGAGCGGTTGTATCCATTTGTTGTACCTCCATGTTCTTTGTTGGTCTTTGTGGGTTACCTCCTGTCCCGGGCAAAAACGGTTGCTCGGTCCAATATCAGATCCCTAAGTAATTCCAGACCTCGGAGAAAAAGAAGGTGATCCGCACCTAGTGGTTTGCTTCCACACAGCCTTTGCCGCCGCTATCTACTCCGTTGTACTTCCCGTAAGTATAGCGACTCATAATAGATGAGCTGGCTGGCTGGCCGAACAACCTCCTCGTGGTGCCAGCTGGGTGGATTGGGTTTACCCCTTCCAGCAAATAGTTCGGCGGCAGTGTTCCAGGACGTGGTGGGTTTCCGCCTGGCAAGCGTTCTCCCTATAAAAAGCCACAAATGTCCGCTTAACAACACTGTGACGTGGCGGTTGTGACTCGCCACCAACTAAAGTCACCCATTGCTTATCCGGACGACCACTTCAAGTCCACAGCCATCAAGCACCCATTTAACACCGGCCACACGTTCAAGCACGATCAAAAAGACTGGAATACATTTACGAACTCCATAAACACGGCTAAACACGCCCACATACACACTTACATACATTTATATAACAATCTATGCGACAATCTCATTGATCCATTGTAAATTGACTGATCACAGTTTGTACTCTTAACATGATCATGTCTGTGCAGACGTGCCTCGCTCAGTCGAGAATAAACGTTTTATTTATTTATTTATTTAGGACGTCTTCCTATCCGTGATGCTTATTTGTTTTATCCGCCACTACTGACTTTCCTACACCCAACATGCGCTTCAGCCTATATACTCCGTTACACCTTCTGTAAGTGTTGACTTTATACTTTCAGAACCCTGTCTATTCGTGATGCCTACGTAAGTGATCCGACGCTACTTACCTGTCCTCACGTAACATGTGCCACAGCATACAGAGACCGTCACACCTCCGGTTAGTGTATTATTCGTTTACATGTGGCGCTTAGAACGCGCGCATATTCCCTTCGCAAGCATGACTGCTCTGACCGTCCTGTCGCTTGCAGACGTACGCAGAATGCCATGCGTATATTCACCATTGCGTACTTTAAACACCAGGTGTTTGCATGTAACACCTCTTTACAACAAAGGTACGTGTTACTCTTGCCTAACGCGTTCTTTTATCCTAAGTCCCGTTTGCATTGTGTTTGAATTGTTATGGTGGCCTCGTGTGATGATGGCAAAACCATTGCTCAGTGTTCACCCTTTGTGGGTTCCGAGCTACATGCACGCTCCCTCACGTAGTGGTGAATATTTCTGAATGGTTTAAACGTCGATCACCTTTATTGCACCCGGTTTCTCAATGCTCGAAACCATCGACGTCTACCGCTGCTTATCCGCTAGCACGTTACTATGTATCATAGTTGCCTACGCGCTTATCACTACTACATAACAACTGCCACGTTGCGTTCCCCTTTACATCTGTGCAAACTCGTGAACATCCACGCAGGAACCGGATATTTATATGGATTGCATCTGCCACCTGTCAGGCAAGCAGTGCGTAGCACGGTTTTCCTTAATGACAAACGGATACGACGGCATTTTCAACAATCTCGTGCAGCACAGCTGGATTCCTATGATCACATTACCGCCGCATGCGGTCTCCTGATCTCCGACCGTGAACCTGGGCATGTTCACCCGGGTGTTCTGTCTAACGGCTAACAGCAGTTTTGGCGCATACCTACAGAAAGCAAACCTTGTTCTTGCAAGCCACCATTAAACGTGTGTGTCTAGCAATCTCTACCATTACTAACTGCATGTGCATCGTATTTTGCACTGGTTTTTCCTCTTCATTAGTTACAGTCTTTGCGTTGATCCATTGGACACAAAAGCAAACGGTTATAAACTGCAAAAACAAACCGTTTATGGAGCTCAGCTTTGTCATAGAAACCCAGTCGGGCTATCAGCCTTGCGTATTAACATGTTGCATATTTTTACAATTGTTAGGCGCGTTCACTAGCGATGCTCACCTGCCAGATTGATTAACATGCAGCACCTTTGCCTACACCGTTGCTGACTTGATGTGTACCGAGCGACTTTTATCCGTCCTGTTCGTTCTCCTTCTCCGACTTACAAAAGCTGTGCTGTAAAGGTAGGGCAAACTGCCGACGCCTTTCCATTATACAGTTGTCAAATAGTATATAAAAGTCTCTCAAGCTATGGGTTTTTATATCACTGCTCGTGATCTATATGCTGATGTTTTTCACCACACCGAACTTTCAGTTGGGCGCAGCAACATATACGCTGTGTTGCACTGCTATTTCCTTTGCATCTGCTTAGTGTGCTGATGGTGCGAGAGAAGATACCACAATAGCATACTAACAAGTTGCGATAAAGTTAAGGTCGCTTTCCACATGGATGTGGGGGATTAGCAGCGGATCGTCAACAATACAATCATAGATTATTTTGCATGTCAGTCTCGAATGTACATGCAGCAAAACAGCATCATGGAATCTTTAACCTTCCACATAATTCGCCTTATCTGCACTGCAACTCACCCAGGCTGTAAAGTCCATATAAACCTTTGCTCATGCATACCCATTTAGTGCACATAAATAAATCTGGAGACCTTTAGCTTGATGTGAGCGGCTGCAAACGAATCGCAATTCTGCTCAGAGACACCGATACAGTAAACACAGGCTAGCAGGTGTGTCCGGACACCCATTCCATTGCGGTTTGCGTGATCGCGAAACACGAAAATGCGAGGTGTATGCTAAGCTGACTTCTCAAGTCAGACAAGGGCATGAAGCATGTTGCACTAACTTTTGTGTTTCGAACCATGTGTACACTAAATCAGTTCTGCGGGTAAGTATGGTTGCCATCACACGCCTTACTAACTCGTAGGCTTGTTAACAAGGGTTAGGTTATACTCCGGTTATGTTAAAGGTACCGCCCCACATACATCCATTGACCTAACGCCGAGGCGACATTCAGTGACTCCGCCTGCTTGCCGCCCTGCACAGACTAACCAGCCTGGCCAGTCGCAACCGTTGATTATACCACAACGTTGAAATGCGAACTGCGTGCGTGCGCTAACCTGCGAGGCTGTGCAGGTATGCCGCACTATTCACTGGCTGCCCCGGATTTGCAAGACTGCGCAGGGACTCCGTTTGCATTTTAAAATTGAGGCGTGATCATCGGTTGCGACTAGCCTTGCTGGTAAGGCCGGGGCAGCCAGTGAATAGTGCAGCACACCTGCACAGCCTCGCAGGTTAGCGCACGCACGCAGTTCGCATTTCAACGTTGTGGTATAATCAACGGTTGCGACTGGCCAGGCTGGTTAGTCTGTGCAGGGCGGCAAGCAGGCGGAGTCACTGAATGTCGCCTCGGCGTTAGGTCAATGGATGTATGTGGGGCGGTACCTTTAACATAACCGGAGTATAACCTAACCCTTGTTAACAAGCCTACGAGTTAGTAAGGCGTGTGATGGCAACCATACTTACCCGCAGAACTGATTTAGTGTACACATGGTTCGAAACACAAAAGTTAGTGCAACATGCTTCATGCCCTTGTCTGACTTGAGAAGTCAGCTTAGCATACACCTCGCATTTTCGTGTTTCGCGATCACGCAAACCGCAATGGAATGGGTGTCCGGACACACCTGCTAGCCTGTGTTTACTGTATCGGTGTCTCTGAGCAGAATTGCGATTCGTTTGCAGCCGCTCACATCAAGCTAAAGGTCTCCAGATTTATTTATGTGCACTAAATGGGTATGCATGAGCAAAGGTTTATATGGACTTTACAGCCTGGGTGAGTTGCAGTGCAGATAAGGCGAATTATGTGGAAGGTTAAAGATTCCATGATGCTGTTTTGCTGCATGTACATTCGAGACTGACATGCAAAATAATCTATGATTGTATTGTTGACGATCCGCTGCTAATCCCCCACATCCATGTGGAAAGCGACCTTAACTTTATCGCAACTTGTTAGTATGCTATTGTGGTATCTTCTCTCGCACCATCAGCACACTAAGCAGATGCAAAGGAAATAGCAGTGCAACACAGCGTATATGTTGCTGCGCCCAACTGAAAGTTCGGTGTGGTGAAAAACATCAGCATATAGTTCACGAGCAGTGATATAAAAACCCATAGCTTGAGAGACTTTTATATACTATTTGACAACTGTATAATGGAAAGGCGTCGGCAGTTTGCCCTACCTTTACAGCACAGCTTTTGTAAGTCGGAGAAGGAGAACGAACAGGACGGATAAAAGTCGCTCGGTACACATCAAGTCAGCAACGGTGTAGGCAAAGGTGCTGCATGTTAATCAATCTGGCAGGTGAGCATCGCTAGTGAACGCGCCTAACAATTGTAAAAATATGCAACATGTTAATACGCAAGGCTGATAGCCCGACTGGGTTTCTATGACAAAGCTGAGCTCCATAAACGGTTTGTTTTTGCAGTTTATAACCGTTTGCTTTTGTGTCCAATGGATCAACGCAAAGACTGTAACTAATGAAGAGGAAAAACCAGTGCAAAGTACGACTAGGTTGGAACAGGTTTACGTAATGGGCCAACCGCATCGAAACAAACGCACTTAGTAGATGCTTTCACTACTGCCTTTAACAAAGCTTCACCTCTTTAAGGTGCAGGAACAGTAAAGCTGTCATATATAGTACATATATTGTTCTTTAAATATTAATATCATGTTTTTTAATTACTTGCACTGAAAGTGTCCGCTGAACTTACTTCATGCAATGCAAAACGACTTGTGCCATCGCACATGGCCGCTATTGCTTTATCGTGGTTAGTCGAATAACATATTTTTTGCAATTCCCTTTTAGTAACCCGTCTTTTGGCTTCCGTTCCTCTCATACGCTAGTTTCTATTGACTTTTATATGCGGTTGCCTTCCGCTACTGTGTTCCGCCATGACGTAATCTATAAGCAAGCATACGCTCATTGCTTTAGTTGCGTGGCTTGGATATTATTGGTACGACTTTTAGCAGGTTGCATAAATTATGCTAATCTTTCGCCAGTGCGTTCTGCAACGATGTGGCCAATCGCGGAAATTACCTTCGCTGCCTTCCGTACGTGTATGTATTGGTCATTGGAAAGTTTCCCAACCACCGCTGGCTCGTTTTCCAACTTCGTTCCATTTCGCCGCAATTCCTGTCCCCTATGGATCGACGTTTACTACCACATCATAGCAACTGCAAATGTCTTTCCAAGATTTGTCTCAATGCTGTTATAACTACATGACGAAGACCTGTTTAATAGTGCCTGAATTGCCATTCACTACTATCGGACGTCATTCTTCTAGATTTTTAACCTTGTCGCTTGGGGCGGAGAGCGGGTTTGCTAGTAAACAGCATATTACGCAGTCTGTTATTACGGCTTTGTATTACGGATTATTCCGTGGTTGTTGTACTATCCGTCTTCGCTCGTAGGCCGTTGGGGTATGCACTGCTGTCGTAGTGTACTGTTAACATTTACTACTACCACGATGCCTGGAGAACAATGCCCGCATATGTAACTCTCCTTGTTTTGGCGGCTTATCATAAGCACTTGCAGGTTATAAGATTGTGAGACTAAAACTTCGTTTACAAGCTCGGGCATCCACTTTCCACCTACTTAAGTGCACGAACAAACAATTGTCTATTGCAACGATTAAAAACACCTTTCGCACGCATATGACTGGCACAGTTTTCATGCTGTGTTCTAAAATGTGACGAAAGCAACACGGCTTCTTACTCGTTGTAGCTACAACATGTAACCCGAACAATTGCCAACAAGTGGGACTAGTTAGCTGTCAATTCTAGATGGTCCCGATTACAAAGGGTGCAGTCTGTTCGGAAAATGGTTACACTTGTTTTTGCAACCCAACAGCGCGCAGCCGACGCTAACAGCCAATAACCGCAGGCTGCCTAACGACGTTCGCTACAAGGTTGTGATACACATTTGCACGTTGCAACAATGGAATACACTAGTTCGCAATGCTGTCCCTTTGAACATAAGCGAACCAATTCTTTGGCTTAAAGAGGCTGTAGGTGCGGTTCTAATATGCTCACAGTGAGCCCGTGGTAACAAAGTACAGGATATTCTTTCATCATGGATAAATGTAAACATTGGCAGCCACAAATTGTATTATGTGCGTACAAAGCACATGAAGATAGTATGAGGAAGCATACAGGTTCCTCCTCAGCGTTCTATTCATTTTCCAATGCACACTGGGGATTTTGCTTTTATACCCCTTTCGTCCCATTCGTTGCTACCCTTGAAGGAAAGACCAAGCATATATGGCTTACTATCCAGCGTAATTCACGCATGTAAAACAACCTGAGTCATGTTTGCTCAAGTAACTACTACTTACATCAACGCAACACGCTGAGGAGGTTTGGCTGTCTGCGGTGAACCTAAACCGAAAAAGCAATTACCACTGCGCCCATTATTCCATGGCGATAAAATTATTGGTAAGGTTGCGTATAGATAACGATCTTCTTAGCGCACATGCAGCTAAGCAAAACAGGAAAAGCAGGTTGACATGTCGGGCCTGCAACATGCCAACAGTTTATCGCGCAGTGTCATTATATCTATCGGCTGATTTACCACCAATTGACCTTTGAAGCTATTTCTTCCCAAGCCATTTATACCTTCACTTACTTATTCTGCCCTTCCTACCAAACTAGACTGGCTACCAGCTTTCCCATCACCATTCAAACGCTGCTGGTCTTTGAATTCTGCTTTCTGTCTTCCCGCGCAATAGTTGCATCATAGAAACCGATACTTAACGGCGCAATGACCTGTGTGTGGTGGCATTCCATCTATACTGTCATTGCTTTCGTAGAACGTACAAAAGACACTCCAGCACAACCATTGTTGCACATTGTACTTCCTTTTGTCTCCATTCTAAATGTTATAACACAGAACTTTAACAGTGTTCGTTTCCACGCCTTTTCGTTGCGGCCTTGGTGGTCTCCCACCTTCTCTTTCCTCCGCGGTCCGCAACTTCTTAGAGGTGTGGGATTTAACCAAGAAACCACAAGGACCTACAAATAACATGGCTGTACAACACATAGATTTAATTTCACCCACTACCACAAGCGTTTTCCAGTAATGATAGATGGACACGATACCTTCACATTCCTGAAAAGTATACATAAACCTGAAAAATCCAGACGCAGCAAACTGACCTTTGGCTCACACGGACACGCACAAAGACGATTCTTCGTGAATCGCCCCTCCTCGATTAGCCTCAGCTATTACGGCGGCCCTGACCAAAGATACTCGATCAATTTACAGTGGAAATTGGAAATTGCTTGACTGCGGATAACCGAGCGAGCAATCGGTCGGCAGGCTGCTGTGCCAGTTGTACATTAGTGTACATATGAATTTCTAGCATCGTGCCAGGACGTGGTGGGTTTTCGACTGGAAGGCGTTCGCCCTATAAAAAGCCACAAATGTTCGTTTAACAACACCGCAACGTGGCGGATGGGACTCGCCTCCGAATAATGTCCCTGCCCACAACTACATGCTGGCAAGTCGATTAGAATCACACTATGCTATTTTCCTGACACGTTCAAGAATAAGATACTCCCTGCCTACATGTATCATTTTCATTACGCATATAGTGCCCTGACTGTTTACACTAAGCACGCTAGAACCCAACGCATCGTCATTCGTTGACGACTTCATTGCTCATGGTTACTTTTATAATTTCCACAGCCTGTACCACTTTCGGCTGACTACCGATTACATACGTAGCAACGTGTTTGTTGAGAAACCTAATTGCATGTAAACGTTGATCGTGCCTGGTTTGGCGCGTCTCGACAAATCCGATAATAAACAGTTTACGTATTCGTGTATTCAAATATCTTCGCAGAAGAAGCACTAGAAAACAGTTATTATGGGGCTGCAGAAGATAGATGCCATGTTACCAACGCGTACAAAACGGTCATTGAATCCAATGTATTGTTCGTCCAGCGTTTTCTTCCGGAAATTACAAGCTGCATTCGGCGTACATATCTTCATGGATTACCGAATCTCGCAGAGTTGTATGGTAGGTTTGTTCATCAGCCGTTTCGTTTCGGGGTGCATGCCATGCGTCTTAAACATTGTCCGTTGGTTGGGCAGCAGATATAACCGCAGACAGTGCCTTCTTTATCTGAGCTCGCAATTGTCACCTTCCATTTGCCACCATATATCGCGTTATCGGTGGCCGTTGTGATAATCCCCTCCGGCAATGCCGACAGATAATGAGCTTCAGCGTCCAAGTTCATAAATGTTGACTTCGGAAGCCGGTTGTAATCGGCAGTTTGTGTCCGTGGCCAGGTGCTTTGGAGAGAGAAGTGAACGAATTCATTTATGCGGGCCTGCCTGTGGAACAGCACTTCTTTGCATCGCGGTATACAGAGCAAAGTGAGCTGCCTGCAGTCGCTGATACAACGCTGTACGTCGTACAACGCCATGTTCCAAATAGCGCTCGGTTCTTGCCTACCGGTTACTGGCGCGTCCAAACGCGCGCTTGGAACGGCGGGTGCCCCATTTTTCTCACCATCCATCTTTTGCTGCATGGCAGCTTGTTGACATGCACGTTGTTAAGCTGTACGATATGTAGCAGTTAGCTGCATGGAAGTCTAAATCCGGCGTTCGTTTTGTATATGCACAAGCGCTTGTCGCGGTTTGCCGTCTCTAAACGACGGTGGCTGAAAATGATTGCATGCTTACTGCTGCTGAAGACCGCAAGCGGATAAGTTGAACTGAAATCAGACATTAGGAGGAAAATAGCGTACGACATCAATCGGCTTCAGAAGTAGCCTAACTCTGGCTGACCATAAATAAGGATATCGAGACGAGATGCGTCCGACGCATTTTGTCGGTTCCATAACGGATATGTCGCGCTCATCCGTGACACTCGTGTGGTTTCCCACAAGCCAATTCTCCCATACCGTAGTTCCATCTTCAAGCAGCGATGCATGGACTCTACCATACTCGTGTCATGTATGTCGTACGTTGCAACCCCAGGCATCCTGCTGTTGGCCCATCTGCAGGATTTGGGAAGCATGAAGGAACTGTTATAGTGAAAAAGGTTGATTATTAGTACGAATGCATTCCAACTTAACTAATGGTTGCTAAAAGATGCACTTGTACCTCACGAGGAATAAACGTCTGACTGAAGTGGGTTAGGAAATACTTTTGATGGCATCTAATTATATGGATGCGATATAAGAAATGATGTGCGGATGGAAAGACGTGATGTAAAACGTTTGCAATGGCCAATGCACCAGCGGACATGATGCAGTTGACGTCCAAAGCACCACCTACAAACTCCATAAACGTAATGAGGAATGTTCTGACATCAGTCTCCGTCCCGTGTCAGAGAATAACAATGGGAACCGGCGGACTTTTGAGACAGCAAACGAATATAAGCAATTGGTATAAAAATACCTCTGTTGGCTAATGGAGGTGATGCAAGCAATAAGCTAAATGTCGGGAAACCAGGAGTAAAGTTCCAGCATATTCAGCGTGGAGTAGATGAATTGGATGATCCGATTGTTGTCGTCGAGCAAACGCCGGGCTCGCCCTCGCCGGTTAAACTGTGATTTCAAGCCCAGTATATATCCTAAAGCAGTACATTTCTAGCTACCAAATCAAAGGCAAGTTACCTGGATTGCTGCGCCGGAACATGTATCTCACTCGAAGGTTTCCGACGTCGGCGTTCGTCAGGTATAGTCCGAACTTCCATCGGACGTAGATCCCAAAGTTGAAGCATCGGTTTCGGCATTCAAGCATCGGCCTGGGGGGGGGGGGGGGGGGGGGGGGGGGGGGGGGGGGGGGGGGGAAACAACGGGGGGGGGGGGGGGGGGGGGGGGGGGGGGGGGGGGGGGGGGGGGGGGGGGGGGGGGGGGGGGGGGGGGGGGGGGGGGGGGGGGGGGGGGGGGGAGGGGGGGGGGGGGGGGGGGGGGGGGGGGGGGGGGGGGGGGGGGGGGGGGGGGGGGGGGGGGGGGGGGGGGGGGGGGGGGGGGGGGGGGGGGGGGGGGGGGGGGGGGGGGGGGGGGGGGGGGGGGGGGGGGGGGGGGGGATACAAGGGGGGGGGGGGGGGGGGGGGGGGGGGGGGGGGGGGGGGGGGGGGGGGGGGGGGGGGGGGGGGGGGGGGGGGGGGGGGTTGGTGGGGGGGGGGGGGGGGGGGGGGGGGGGGGGGGGGGGGGGGGGGGGGGGGGGGGGGGGGGTAAAAGGGGGGGGGGGGGGGGGGGGGGGGGACAAGCATCGGCCTGCCTATCCCCAATTTTTCCGGCTCCAGTCGAAGGTTCCTGCTGAACCGCTTTAATGCTTCGTCTCCCAGAAAGTTGTGGTTGTGCACCATTGAAAACTAGTTATTCTGAACGTAGTCCCCAACCTACCAACTTTGAACTCCGATCCGCAATAGATGTGATCCAATAGTCTTGGTAGTCTGCCTTAGTTAGGATGGCGGGAAAATCTTTTCAAGTGGTAATGGTACTTTATCAGTGTCTGCTTGCCGGAGGCAACCGCTTTTGACTTTCGAACACGGTAGTATGACCCAGGTATTCTCTTGAAGCGCTTGAGGTAATGCACCAGTTCGAGGGCTTTGCTATACAGACGTCTGCCCACACCCTCGACAAATTTACATGCTACGCCAACTGTGTGTCGCAAAGGTGTGGCAGGACCACTGGCCTTCTCCACGAGCGCAAGGGTACCAGAGGTATTTAAAGCCGTATCAAGGAGGCCGTATCCATAATACATCCGGGTTATATACCATACACTATCCCATGAATCCGAAGGAGACACTCAGTACTTAAAACTTACTACTGCTATGTTTGTTAGAAGGGTGTGTACCATGTGGTAGAAAATTTACATACATTTGTGGTTTTTCTAAACGAACAACGCACAAAACTTTTCTGGCGCTAGCGATATCCCACTTTCAGCTTCATATTTACACCCCTTGATAAAAGTTATTATTTAATTTTGCATCCTTCACCAACTCATGAAATAACCATTTACCACCGCATTCTTCTGCTTTTAGAAGTTTCATTAGGACCACGTTTAACCTCACGGCCATCATCATAACCTAACTAGCCATACACCTAGAGAATAGAGTAGTCAGCTGTGCAGACGAGCCGCCCCCCGTACATAAAATCCTCATTGTTCAGATAAGCCTAGGCGCTTTCCATGACACCAACGAAGGATATTAAAAGAGGTTTAGAACTATTTTAATACCAATAATAATTATGGACGCGTACGGCAATATGGATGATTCCAGGTTGTGAATGCGCGGTTATAATGGGTTAAAATATATGTGCGTGCTTCTGGCACACATTACAAGCAGGGCAATGGTGGACGATTCCGGATTCTTGGAGCGCATTTTCACCTCTTTTATCGTAAACACCAAGATTTGGTGCATAAGGTGAAAACTTTCCAACTAGAAACAACCTCCTTGTTCTATAGCCATACAGCTGTTGCGCGGGAAGTAAACTAGAGGAAGGCGGGTAAGGAATTATTGGAGGGCTATCCGTACCGCTATGTGCAATTCCGGTGTGTGTAAGGCACACATGTAAACGTTATTGGCAAGCGGTAAGGGATGCTTGTTTATGTACTGATATGTATTGCGTGCAGGTACAGGTTTTTGCTTGTCGCGCTCGAGTATCGTTCATTTGAATGGTCTGTATTATGAGCGTAGATAATGATGCTTGGCGCGTAACCACGATTTTCAAGCTGGGCATCGGTGGCTGTGTTTGTGCAACCGGCGGTTGACGGCGTCTCAAGTGCTGGGGGTTGCAAGCCTTATATGTAGTCTTAAAAGTAAGCTGGAGGTTTGCGCCCACGTTTGCTGACCTTTAGATAGGTTGCTGAACCAGAACGACTTGCTGCCAATAAAGAAAAAGGCATCTTAAAGTTTGGTGATAACGGGATGCCTAGCTAAGCTTGGGGGTGCACCCGCTGCACTTCGTTGTCACTACACAAAAAGCGTGTCGGTGAGTCATTTAGTCCAACGAGTAGGACTGAACACTTCGCGAGCTTCGGACGCAGCTGCCATAAAAAGAGGAATCACAAAGTTTATTTAGAACCCTTTGTAGGAGCAGTCGACCAGTCGGATCGTTTACTGTCAACCAGAATTTTGGGTCATCCACAAACCTCAGGGCTGGCGCTCCCGTCTCTTCAGGTAAGTCCTCAACGTATAAACTAAAAAGAAAAGGGGTCGAGTACTTTGCCGTGCTGGACCTCGCTGGAAATGCGTTGTCAAAAAGGCAGGCCAAAACCCACACGCACACTCATCTACATTCCGATTAGGGAAGCTAAAATTCGTCGGAAGACAAGTACGGCAATGCTGTAAGATTGCAGTCTGTATGAAATATGCAAATGCGGATCTGTGTCAACCGTTATGAAATTGCCAAGGAAAATCGCGTCCACTGCCTTCCCGCGCCCGACTACTTCGGCTCAACGTTCTCGGTCCACCGACTAGTTAATGAGACTCGAATATCCCTTACAAAAGCCGTGTTGAGAGTCATTGAGCAACCCAAAGGTTATTCAATGTAGTTCTAGAGCACTTCACACACGGTTTTCCAACAGCCTAACCAGGAATATCATTAAGCTGACCCGTCTATAGTTTTCGTGGAAGTGTTTGGCACTTTTTCATTAGTGGACATACCATAGCCTCGTTCCAGTCGGTGATTAGAAAGAAGCTGTATAGAAACTTCTCCAACAGATGAGTAATCAGAGCGCGAAGTTCGGCAGCTACATTGTACAACTGGTTGTGATGAATGCCATCCACTCCAGCAGCAGTAATGGGATTTGCTAGTTTCAGAAGTCAGAGCATTTGAGCCTCTCTAAGGATCCATTAACTTGCGCCATAGATTTTGGACACGGAAGAGCCTGGCACGCCGGGCCGGAGGTGTTACAGGAGCCCGTCCATAGCAGCCGTCGAAGCTACCTCTCCCTCTGTGTGAAGCTGCCCGGAGAAGTTTGGTTGTATTCCGTCTTTGGCCAATTGGCTAGCTAATGGTCGTAAGCCAGTGACACCGTTTTATCTTGAGGTGGACCAATCAGCGTAACCTAACCTAAAGCTCTCCAGAAAGCACACTACTTGCTCAGCCAGCGCGCAAGCTTCTCCGCATGTAGTACTTGCCATAGTTAAGAACTTTCAATTAGGTCTCTCCTCTCAGGAACTATTTAGTTCGATCCAATAGGTTGGCTGTATCTTCTCTCTTCCAAGTGCTCCATACAAGTTCTGACAGAGGCCTTTATCTTCCCTTAGCACCTCACAATTTCCTGACTCAACGTTCCACTAAAGAAGTCAAAATTCAATGGGTTTTTCTATCGTTTCATGACCATCTGCCTTTAAATCTTATTTCAAACCTGGCTGTATCGGGACCACAGTGACTACCAATGTTATCCGTACTATCGGCGGAAACACAAAAGGAGGAATATTACATATTTTTCGAACCTGCGCTTTTACGACAGCTTAATTGTAGACCTAGCGGGGACAATGAAACTTTCCGCTATCGTACTGCTTCTCGTTGAATCCCCTTAGCCTAGGATACCGCTCTCAATCCCGCTTGCAGGTTTAAATGGTGACGCCAATGTGAGCCATTATGGGCGCCGATAACAGCACCTTCTAAGAGAGGGGATGACGTATCCGATATGCGTGCTTCATGCTAACCGGTTAACAGGTACTAGGTCGATCGGGGTTGGTTCCTGTTATCGTTACACTCTTATTCCTCTCCGGCACTTTTCCTTATTGCTGTAGCGATGGTTAATAATCCGCTTATGTTTTATTTCCACACTTATCTATTTCGCTGCGGTTGTTGTATAACTTTGCTTTAATTAACTACATACATGACGATTGGTTTTGAGCTCGTATTCCGCGGTTCTTCCTTGGTTGTCGATGGCCTTTTGTGATTGTGGGGCGTGACCGCTTAACGATACGCGCGATTTCAAAATAGTTATGATGCAATAAAACTGGTCTACCAATCTACGAATATATGGTGGAGTGGTGCAAGATGAATGTTCTCTTAAGCAGGTATAGATACCCAAATAGTATCTATTTGTTATATAGTATATTAAAGGCGGAAGCATGTACCTGTCGTAAAAATTCAAATGTAATGCCAATGGGGTGCTTTACTTGGTGTTTGGAAATAGAAAAGTAATGCTTGCCATCGAAACGAAGCTTATGTCACTTTAATGTTGCACCTTAACATGAAATTATTGATGGCGAGTGCACGAGTGATAGAGGAACTGTGCGCTTGTCCTTATGCGTTTGTGTCATTAACAGTATTAATTACAATAGGAATCGAAAAATTTTGCTATATATTGCCTAAAGGACTGCATGGAATTACGGATTCACAAAGATATCTATGAGTGTGCGTGTGCGCAATGTAACACTGTATGCACAAACATAAATATACATAAATATGCGTATATACGGTTGGCCGCATCCGGTTTCGGATTGGCCTGTCACTGTGGCCAGCCACAGGACGCCTGTGCCTACAGAGAGACCATGGGTGGCTTGCGCTGCACCACCCACCGCTTCAACCACACACCCCATATTTAGTGTAAACCCGATGGAATAAGACCGGGAGGCATGTGGAAGGGAGCCGCGTTTCATCAACTGAGCCGGCCCACACTCCTTCACAACAAACACAAGCACGCTGTATTTGGGAATCAACCGCAAACAAGGCGGTGACTGGACCGTAGCCCGCTCCACAATGAGTATGTAGAACCACTATTTGATCCTAACAAGGTCACAAGGACCTTGCACTTCGTCCCCTCCAGGAACGACCAACTGTCTCCTGGAACCAGTATGGACGAGGTAGTGGGTAGTAGACAGGTAGGCACCTTGTCAACATGCACATCAAGAGCAGTCACACCGGGGATATTAAACAACAGCCAATCACTTGAGTGAGAGATACAAGGAAAATAATTCGGTTAATGCATAAGGAAACGGTGACACAGAACTTAAATTAATGCGCATTTGAAATAAGTTGTTTACAAACGAATTCTAGATAAGTTCACTAGGTCAGAAAGTATACTTTACGTAAATGCCACGAACACGAAAGCTTTATGGAAATCGAATAAAACTGACTTAAGCGAGGTGTGCAATTTAATGGAATAGAGTACAAGTGGACATTTATATGAGAAAGAAAGGAAGTAGGACAAAAATGAAAGCTCACCACCTGAAATAAAGAGACGGAGCATGCAAGCACGCGGTTAGTAAATCGAATGCAGCGTACCTACAAACGCTGTTCCGGTTCTGCCTACGTTCTCTGCAGGACCCGTCGTCGCTTCGGTAGTGGTCCCGAGTG